TGACAGGGAGCTTTATGTGGTCTGGCACTGCCAGCCAACGCCTAGAACTAGAAATCTAAACCCTTAGTGTAAGTTCATAGTTTAATTAAGGAAAGTTGTTCAATTTAGAGTTCACGTCTGTGTAAATCCCTTAAGGTGAGAGTTAATAGGCCACTCCCCCATACCTCTCTAAATATTAGACTTGCAGTTCCAGCCTCTGCTACAGTGGCCATCTCCAGCCCCTTAGTGATCATGCTAATTTTAGGTGAAAAGTCTGAACAAAAACCCATCAATCCCTGATCAGGAAAACCCACCAATCCCTAAGCCCCCCCAAGCTCAGGACTTGAAATCTCCCCAATCCTGACTCTAGAAATCTCTGCTCTAGAAAGCACCATCCCCACCTTAACCCTCCACCCCCTCCAAAAATTCCTATATAAAGGCTGTGTCTCCTCAGTTCTCTGCTGGCTTCTCCTGTTTGCAGAGGCAACCACTCCTGGGTTTTTTTTTTCTTCTCTTGGATTCATCCCTACAATAAATTTCTTTTAAGAGATTTGATGACTACTGTAACTCTTGTTGAAAGAAGCCCAGAAGAGAAGACACTAAGAAGGAGCCGGGCTTAGGCTCCTCAGCTCAACTGGAGGTACCTTCCCCTGAGAGCTGCAACAGCTTTGCTGAGGAGACCTCCTCTCAAAGCTGTCTGGCTGTCCCATCCCAGAACTGTGTAGTTCCCAGGCCTCATATTTGTGGGTTTCCTGGGCACCTTCACACCCAAGCAGGAAGACTAACACTATTGCCATGTCTTTGTTCTGCTACCATGGTTTCCAACTATGAAACCGTAAGCACAATTAAATGCTTACTTTCATAATTTGCTTTTTTCATGGCTTTTAAATGCAACAGCAGAAACTTAAGAAACTATATTTTTTTCTTGGATTCCAAATTTATTGCTTAAATTTCAAATGCTTTTATAGTTATTTTATTATTGGATTTTTGTTTAATTGTACAATGGCAAATACTCTATTTAATTTGAAATTTCGAACTTCATTTTGGTGTGTGTGTTGTTTGTTTTTGTTTCTGGATTTTTGGGTTTTTTTGTTTGGTTGGTTTTTTGGTTTTTGGTTTTTTTGGAGACATGGTTTGTCTGTGTAGCCTTAGCTGTCCTGAACTTGCTTTGTAGACCAGCCTGGCCTCAAACTCCCAGAGATCCACATGCTTCTGCCTCCCTAAGTGCTGGGATTACAAGATTGCACCACCACACCCAGCTCAAATTTTATTTGGTGATCAAGAATCTAGTCAGTTTCAAAAATGAGCTTCATTTATTTGAAAAGAATGTGCACTTGATAAACTAGGGTCAAATAATAGAGGAGGAGGGCTCTGCATTTCTATGGACTAGGGGAGATGGATGGAGGTAGAGGGAGGGAAGGTGGAACTGGGAGGAGATGAAGGAGAGGCTACAATCAGAATATAAAGTGAATAAATTTAAAAAAATTATATAAAAGGATGTACAGTGCTTATAGTATTTTATATATCTCTTCAAGCCAAATTTACATATTGTTTTGTTCATTCTACTTTGATCTGTTCTTTTTACCTCTTTACAGTTTACACTGAAAGTGAAAATACATGTATCCTTGTATATCTGGCAATTTTTAAACATTATCTTGAGATATTAATAAATGTTTTCAAGGGTGCTGTTGTTGAGATAAAGGCTTTTGTTTTGGTCAGTGTTTCTTTGTTACTGTTTTTCTGTGCATGCACTTTTAGTCTTTCTTTATTGGAGAGAGGGTCTCTCTCTGTAGCCCTTGGCTGTTCTGGAACTAAGTAGACCAGGATGGCCTGGAACTCACAGAGATCTTCTTGATTCTGCCTCCAGAATGCTGGTATTAAAGGTGTGCACCACTATGCGTCACTTTACTCTTATTTGTTATTTTATGTGTATGATGTTTTGCCTGCATCACATGTGTTCATTACCATCAGAAGCCAGAAAGTTGGATCTCCTCGGACTGGCTATATGGATGGTTGGGATCTGCTATGAGGGTGCTGGGAATTGAACCAGGGTTCTTTGGAAGTGCAGCCAGTGCTCTTAGCTGCTGAGCCATCTCTCCAGCCTCTGATCTTTATAGGTATCCATTTTGTTTTTTTAAGAGAGAAAATATTCATGCTGTGAATTGAATTTAGGGCCTCGGCTAACAAACTCTGTCATTCAGCTATCTCTCAAACCTGAAATTTGTGTTTTATAAACTGCACACAGGTGGTTCCTTTTCCACTGTAAAAATCTTTGACTTTAAATGGCTTCATGTACATAATTTACTATAATGTAATCATTAACATTACTAGGGTTAAGTTAACTATTGTATCAAGTTCCTGCTTTCTGTCCCATGCTAGCTTTCTCAACATTAGTATTTTCTGTTTTCACCATCTATTAACATGAAAGCTTCATCCAGCAATTACTACATATAATTCTAACCTACTGAAATCTGGTATCAATATATACTTTTATGTTCTGCTGAGAAATTGCAAGCATTTTACATACTTTTACTAGTCCACTCAATTTGTATGTTTGTCAGTATAAGTTTAAAAAGACAATAGTGTGCTACTATTTTATAAAATTGTCTTAGTTTCTTTTTCTGTTGCTTTGATGAAATAAACTGACAAAAGCCAGTTAAGGGAAAAGGGTCTTCTTTTGGCTCACAGCCCCAGGTTGGAGTCTATCACAGCAGGGAAGTAATAGCACCAGGAACGTGAGGGAGTTGATCGCATTTTATTCTTAATCAGGGACAGAAAGGAATGAATGTGTGCATGCTGATAATTTCTCTTTACTCATCCTCAGAAGTGAGTGGGGAGGTCTTTCATCTCAGTTAACCCAAACAAGAGAAACCCTTACAGGCATGACTGGAGACCCATTTCCCAAATGATCTTAGCATTTGTCAAGTTGACAAAAACAATGTTTTAAACCACTACAGATATTTATCCTCACAATTTTTCTGTCCATTCTGCCACCTCTACTCTTCCATCTAACATAAGTTGTTACCTGAAATTTTTTTCTATTATTTTATACTTGCTGCTTGTAAACCATTCTCAGTTTTATTTCTATGACACCTTTGTTTTGAAGTGTATTTTTTATTTTTGCTGGCTGCCAATGTCCAAGTTTGAATTTTCTTTTAAGACGTTAATAATATTGCATTGTTTTCATATTTCTACTTTTTGCTGTTGAGAAGCCAAAAAAAAAATTAGACTTGTTTCTTTGAAAGTGTAATTTTTAGTTTTGACTACTTTAATTTTGTTCTCTTTGCCTTTGATTCTCTGAAAGTCCACTACATTTGTATTAGGGCCCCAGTCCTTTGTAGGCCTTAAGACCTTAGCAAACTGACTCCATGGTGGGAGTATCATTTAAGCCACAAAACTCAGTATGTAGACAACACCACCAACCAAAACTATAACAAAGGCCTAGTCCACCAAAGTCCATATAGTTATGGGAAAGTCTCTAAATGTACTAACCTTGCTTTTTGGCTTCTGTAGTTCTGCTTCTGACTAATTTCTTGCTAACTAAAGTATGTAACCTGGACATATTTTTTTGTGTGTGTGTGTTTAAAAGCTCACACTGAGAAAAGCTTGGGGCTATGCTGGGATCCCCAAAACCCAGTGTAGTAGCCTGGCTGGATAATAAAGACTTGCCTTAAACTCATGTCTAAACAGTATTTTCTGGTGAATACTCCACAGCACATTAGCTCCCACTTATACATAGAAGATCAGATTCAAGACCCACAACAGGTGTCTGAAACTGGATAGTTCCAAGCACTAAAATATAATGTCTTTTCCTATAATTTATTAAGCATCTTGCCATGCTCTGTGGCCATTGGGTTTGTTAGTTTGAGATGCAACACTAAAACTGTTGTGAATTTTACTTTATTTACTCACAATTTCTTGAATAAAAGATAAATTCCTTTTTATTTTCAGTGTTAAAGACAGAACTCAAAATCTTGCACATACTAGGCACATATCCATCCCCAAATGTTCTTAGAAATCTCTACATATGATTTTTTTAAGTTAGTTACGAACTCTTAGCTTTTCTCTCAAATAAGCACTTAATGGTTTTTATTTAACATAAGTGAATTGCATACATTACAGACTTCATACTTTGAGATCACTATTAAGTAAGTCAATGGTTACTTGAACACTAGGACTGTGGTACCACAGCAATGGATATGATAACTGAGATGGCACCTGACTAACTAGTAAGTAGAGAACGTATACTGTGAGAATATGTTGGAAAGTAGATGGAATGGAACAACACAAAATTTCATCAAGCAGCTATCATGTTAGTGAAATAATAATATAAGGTTTTAAGTATATTTCAAGGGCTATGGGAGAACACTCTCCTATAATTACTGAAAGGAAAGCAAAACACGGGACTGGTATTTGGGGGAAAATAGCCTAAAGATTCATATTTGGAAATCATCAGTATTTTGATGCAAATGAATGAAATCACAAAGAAATTGAGAGCATGTAAACCAGAAGAGGCCTAAACAGAACCCTAGGGAACATTCAATATAGCAGCTCAGCTTCTGAGCAGGCACCTCCTCCTGCCACTATATTCAGGCAAGGCTGGGTGGATGGGTTGGTTTAGAGTCTTGCTGGTAGCTGTCTTGTCCTTGAACTCACGGTAGCCAAGGCTTCCCTTAGACTCCTGTTTCAACTTTCTGAGTGCTTGGATTACAGGTGTGTGCTACTGCACCCAGACTTTATTTGAAAGCATGCTATTGTGGTTCAGGAGCTGCACACACAAAGTCAAATACCGTTTCTGATAGACTGCCCCACTGTGACCTGCATATATGAGAGATGTATGTATATCAAAGATGCACCAAGTAAAATATCCTGTAACCTCCCACTCTTCTCAGGCCGCCTGGCTTTGCAACACACACCTCCTACAGTCCTCATCTCAGTCCCCTAGGGAGGTGGAGGGTAAGACAGGTCAGGCTGGGGGGGAGGGGGCGAGCTTGGGTGACGCGGTGTTCACATGACTGGCCAGGCGCAGACGTGGGCACCAGCTCCCACGTCTGCTTGCCCGCCCTGCTGTCTGGTCCTGGCACCCGCGCAGAACCAGCTGCCTAAGCTGCCCTAAGCAGCAGACTAGCTGCTAGCCGGATTCTGCAAGCCGGAGAAGGTGCAGGCCTGACCCGGGTTTCCTTAGGTCGGTACTGAAATGAGCCAGGCAGGGGTGGTGGAGGTGGCAGCTGGAACCAGCAGCAGCAGGAGGAGGGGATTGGGGAACGGATCTGGGAGATTGGGAAGGAGGGGACACAGAAGGCAGGGCTAGTATAGGGAGGAAAGAGGACCCCGCGGCAGTCGCCCTTCCCTCACCCCACTTCCCATCGGTTTTATAGCAGGCAGGGGTGACCTCCCCCCGCAGTGTGATGGTGAGACGTAGATGTATTCTGAAATGATCCTTTCACACTCCGAGCTATGAAGACAAACTGACCCAGACCAAAAGGGGAGTGGGGGTGGGGCAGGCTGCCTCCAGAGTCCAAGTGGGAAGCGCAAAGTAAAACGGAGTCCAAGGCCTAGAAAGAAATGGCTGCTGGGGTATATGGCGGGGGTGGGGGTGGTGGGGGTGGGGGTGGTGGTGAGAGTGGCTGAGGGTGGCAGAGGAAAAGGTTGTGTGATGAATATAGGCTGCCAGATAGGTACCCAGTCTCTGTGCATCCGCTGACCAAGCAGCCCCTGCCCCTGTATCCTCTCTGTAGATCTCTGTTACGAAGGCATTGTGACATCAGAAAGGAGGGTGGACCTGCTCCAGGATCTCTGCAGGTCAGTGAATAGTAGCCACACCGGCAGGGGCACGGGCAGGAGTTGGATCCCTACTGCCTGCTCCCTCCCACCACCTATCCCATGTAACACGGACAGAGCTTGTTACCCCGAAAGAAGATCTAGTAGGTGGCAGGACCTGGCATGTCATGGCTGTCTCAGGGTTGAGGAGGGGTGCAGGCAAAGGGCAAACTTGGAGGGTTGGGACAGACACGGGGACTCCTAGAAAGGGACAGATGGCAAAGCTTGTGTTCTGCTGATATCTCAGTCTCTCATGTCTTTTCTTTGCCTCCTGTTTCCCCACCTTTACCCTCAGAACAGGAAAAGGAGAGAAATCTTGACATGGAAGAACTTCGCGGCGAGATGGAAGGGAAACTGGAAAAGGAGGGAAAGCCAGAAGATGAAGTAAAGCCTGAAGAGGAAGAAAAGACAGATGATGAAAAGAAGCCAGACAAGAAAGAAGAGCCAGCACGCCGCGAGGGGAAGCTAGAGGAAAAGACAACACCGGAGGAGCAGGGCAAACCACAAGATGAGGGGAGAGTAGAAAAGCAGAAAAAGTCTGAAGGGGAGGGCAAGCGCCAAGGGGAAGACAAGCCTGATTCCCAGGCAAAGCCAGCCAGCGAGGCACAGGCTGCAGAAAAGCGCCCTGCTGAAGATTATGTGCCCCGGAAAGCAAAACGAAAAACAGACAGGGAGACAGATGATTATCCCAAGGACTCCCAGGAGAACTTACAGGACAGGCGTGTTAGCTGTGAGGAGATGGTGAGGGAGTATGCAGATGTGACCGGAGCCCAAGAAGAACTGATGAAGAGGCAGAAAATTGGTGGTTTTCACTGGGTGCCAAAAGAGACACAGGATGCATTAGTCCCCAGGGGCCAACAACTGGGAGTCAGGGGAGTCAGGGGGGGAGGCAGGGGCCAAAGGAGCCTACATGACATCCCATACGTTTAATGCCTGTGGCCTTCAATTCTGACATCTCAGATGAGAAAGAACACTGCTGGCCTCCCTTTCTCTGGTAGATACTTGCCAGGCCCTGTGCTTTAACCTTCAGCCAAAACTCTGCTTTAGTCTTAACTGTCCTTAATAGCAGTCTTCAGACCCATCCACACCTCTGTCTTCTAGTACAGGATTTTCACCCATGTGCATGTACATTGTAAAACAACAATAAAACAATTGCAGATCTACATATACAGTATCAGCCTCTTTGTATAAAATGTAGATATACTTGCAGAGTGCTTCTAAGCACAAAGAAAACTATGAAAGTATACATTAAAACTCTAACAATATTTATCACTACAAGGCAAATGTGAATAGGTCCTACATGTACTCAGTCATCAGGTGGCTGGAGACTTCCTGCCATTCCCTGGTGGCTTCTGACCTCCCTCTTTTCCGTAACCAGATCAGTTCAAGCTGTAGCCTCTTTTCCTGGGTCCTCTAATATCCTATTGCTCTTTTATATTAAAGGGTATAGATTATGATTGTCATAATAATATTTTTTTAAAAAACAGAAAGACTCAATAATCGAGTGAACTATTAAACAAGTTTAGAATCACAATGAAGACATTTAGACATTCAGACAACTCCCGTTGTATGAATGTAAAGTACGCAAAATTCATATTACTTCTGAAACTTACTGCTAAAGAACTAAACTTGGCATTTATTTTATACATCCTTTGCTGTAAGGGTCAATCTTGTCATCTACAAAATGGGGGTGATAGCTGTCTCACAGAATTTCCCAATATATTAGATGTTATGCTAAGTATGGGGGTGTGGAGAAACAGGACCCTTAACCTTGCCAACTGAGGGGAGGGCTAAGAATAGTTGCCACGTGTTTCCCAGGAGCAACTCCGGGCAGCTAAGATGAGCTATGAACCTTTGAATACTACCATATTGACCTTGCTGTCCCATTATGCCCTATATACATTTCCTCCCTGCAAATAGCCCTATCTGTAATGGTGTCCTCGTGATGCTAAGGCTCTTCTGATTCCCAATTTTCCCCAGAGGGTCCTGTCTGACTCCCATTTGACCTCCAAAAGATTATGCATAAAACCTTCCATTGTGGATTTTTAGGTATCCTGGTTTCAGATTATGGTTGCTCAACAGGTAAAGCCTAGGCAAGTGTTCCAAACACAAGGCAAACAAACCCTTCTGCAGCCTGAAACCCTTTTTTCTGCCCAAGCATTTATGACAAGGGACATTTAACCTGCAGTAATGTGTTTTACTTCATAGAATATCATGTAATGCCTTGTTACCTTTTTGGTTAAATATTACTAAAAGTTATGATAAAATTTAGTTAATTGTTTTGCTAAGTTCACAAAATAGCTGACCCAGCTTTGTGCTATGATTTTTTAAAGATTATCTCTATTTTTCATGTAAGGACATGTCCACAATCTTAGAAAAATTGTAAAGTTCACATTTCAGCAGAGAGCCCTCTGCTAAACAACTTTCCCATCCTTGAGGAGAAAGCATTATTTGTCAGTAAACGCTGTTCTGGAGAGGCAGCATGTGACAAGGTTCATTCCCTCTGCGCTAAGGCAACAGCTCACAGAAGGCATACCAATTGCAGCAAAGAAACAGGCACAGGGCTCTCTCCTGGTGGATTCCCTGACTAAGGTTCTGCCAGTTTTTACCCATTTGAATGGTCTTTAAATTGAAATGTACATACAAGTTCCCTTCCCATCTAGATAACCTATGTCTGTTTATTCAGTTAATGAATCCACATTAGAAGAAACTCAATAGTTGGTAGAAAGAAATGTGTTTTTCCCATAGATAGCATGTGGCCCCCTTTCCTACCCTTCACTGTAAGCCTTTTTGCACAATAGACCCAAGCTTAAAGTGGCCATGGAAGCAGGAATAGTGCTCTAAACAAGATCAACAATATTGATTTCCCTTGCCAGCCTAACCATACTATTGTCAGAGCTGAGTTTGAATTATTCCAAACACTGAGGCCAGTAATGAGACCTGAAAAAAAGCTCCATTTCCAAAGGCAAGACTGGTTATAGCTATGAATGAGACCTTCTGAAAAGAAGCTGTGGCTGCAGAAAATGATTGGCTGACAAGAGCTTCAGTGATGTGGAGAGGTTGGAACGTTAGAAGCCTAGAGCATAATTACCTTATTTTGGGCTAGCTTTAGACACCAGTACCCCTAAACAGCCATTCCCTGTCAGAAATAACATATGTGGCTAATAGATAAAAAGTATTTTGACAAGGCTACGCAGAGAAACCCTGTCTCTACAAAAACAACACAAATATTTTGAAATATATTAACTTATCAGGCTACTTTCAACAACTCAAATGCTAAGAATGTCGTCAGAGAGCATATAAGGGAAGATAGAAAAGCCCCCCTCATCTTACTGTAACAGCCTCTCTGACGTACCTACCAATGTATTTTATGCTTACCTTGATTTATGACTGTCTTTGTTCTGTTAGTCTATAAAACTTCACAAAACTGCTTCCTTATTGGAACATGGAATGTCTAGTAACCTAAATCTGTATTCTTGGGCCATGATCACTCATACTGACTTCAAAATAAAGTATCTCTTAAAACCTATAGATGAGAGCTGTGATTTTTTACGTTGAAACAGCGCAACTCTTCCACTATGGAGAGGCAGTATTTTATTCTTAAATAATGATTAAGTATACATTTAAAAATATAAATTTTATCCATATTCATTAAAGCTTACCTACTAAAAATGAACAGTTAAGGGTGAAGATGTAGCTCAATTAGTGACACAACACTTGCCTAGGAGATTTAACCAGCGCTGTAAAAAAAAGTATGTAATTCACTAGTATGTAGCACATTCACCAAGTTGTTCCCCCAAAAGTTTATTTTAGGACATTATCAACACCCCAAAAAGAAACCATCCATTCACACTCATTATGCATTCCTTTCCTCCAATCTTGATAACCCTCACCTCCAATTAATGGCAACCACTAATCTGCCCTCTGTCTCTATGGACTTAAATATTGTTGTCAATGGAATCATGAGGCATGTGGAGTTTTTTTGTAACTAGCTTATTTTACTCATAAAATTTTAAAGGTTTGTCTGTGCTATTGGCATATATGGTCTTTCATTCCTTTTTAACTGTCAAGTAATATTATCTTAGTGCATTGATTAGAATGGATACATTTGATAAATCCCTTAATCATTTTGTATGTGTGTCTATATTCTTTCCACAGTTAGCTACAATGAGTGGAGCTCTTCTGAATATTCATGAGACAGACAGCACAAGAGGAGGGGCCTCTAAGAAGAGTCAGGACCCAAGTGGCAGATACAGAAATCTGTTCTTCTAATTCTCTGAAAGTGGGGAGGTTCACAACAAAAGCTTGCAGGCAAGCTCCCTAATTTCTAGGCTGGAAAGAGAAGGTGTGGGGAACTGAAAGTAGCACCCTTTTGCTATAAACTCACTTTCCAGGATAATGTTGCAGCATTTAGAACTCACAGACAGTATCTGTGGCTGTCAGTTTCTGTGAGAGGCAGATTCTATCACTACATCCTTACGCTCTTGTTTTTTCTTCTGTTTTAGCACAAAATCTTAGGTTACCATGCACAACCTTTTCTCGTCTAAAAGCATCTCCTTTAGTGTGTGTGTGTGTGTGTGTGTGTGTGTGTGTGTCTGTGTGTGTGTGTGTTGCTTTAACAGTCTTTACCAAAGTGAAAAACGTGCTTAATATCTATAATTTTGTGTAATTATTTTGTATATTAGATGGTTCATTTTTGTCTTATTTTTGTAAAGTTTAGAACAGGTTTTTCTTAACAAAGTAACTATATTTTAATAGAAAAAAACTATATGTGAAACAGACAAAATATGTTTAACAGTCCTTAGAGACATGTCTATTTTCTCTCACTAATTAATTCAAATTAACCTTTTGTTTAAGATTTAAATCTTATCACATGTACTTAGAGTCAATCTGGCTACAAAACAAAACAAAACAAAACAAAACCCATCAATTTCTCCTTCCAGCCTGAAAGACAAACAAAGGTAGGGTAAACATCTGGCACCTCCACTTTCATCTTGTGCTGGTTTCCTTTCTTTGATATTACCTGCTTACTCCTTGGTGTACGCATGTTGATCATGTAGGAAATGTCTAACTTCTTTCACCCTTCAAAGCTAGAAACAGCCAGTTAACTAAACCTGTTAACAGTTGTACTAAACCTGTAGTCACTTTGCATTTCAAGAACAATGAAGTAATCATCTCCAAAAACAGAAACTCAGACAGTAACCAAGGAGACTTTACATTCACTAAGATTACTTAATTATGGAAATCTCTTGTATCTTGCACCATTTCTTTTTTCTAACTTGAAAGCTGAGGTTAGGACCCTTCAGACACACTTGCGGTTACTGGATCTTTCTATCAATTCCTTTTAATAGGGTCACAATGATCAAATCTCCTCTCTTTGTCCCTCACCATTATTCATCTCTTTAGTTGGTTTATTGATCTGGTGGCCAAGCCTAGCCTCTTATATTATAAACTAAAGGAAAGCAGACTGATTTAGTGGTTTCCATTTGTGTGAGCACTCACTTATAAGCACTTTGTATTGTATAAACAATCTATATGCCTACATGCAGATGTAGGCATATATAAATTAGCAGTTCACCATTTTTCTTAGCTGCTTTTAAATTCTGCTTACAATGAGTTGCATATTCTTCTCTCTAGGATTTTTAGTTTAACATGGAAAAACTGAGAATATTTAATGTTCCTCATTTTGGGAAACACAAAGCAATATTATTTTTATTTAGGGCTCCTCATTTTTTTCCAAAGACTTGAAAATTGGACTGCTATAATTATCATTTCCTGTGAGATGCCCATTCTTTTAGTCTAGAGGGCAAAAGTGCCTCTTTAATGCCCTTATTATTAGGTGCTTATAGAGTTTCTAAACTAAGTAAGGAAGATTATAATATGCAGAAGGGACTCAGAAGAAACAAAATCTTAGATATATTTTTTTTAAAAAATGGCCAGAGAAAAATGTCTGAATGCTAACATACAAATGCTATGAAAACAAAAATAAACGAATGTCTTAACTGAGTATTCTGACACAAAAACTAATTCAGAATAAACCAATAAAATATCAACCAAATTAAATGGAACTCCAAGCCCTGGAAAGAACTCAGTATCTACCCAATCAGACAATATATATAGTTGGGCACAAATGGCCCATGTTGATATTTGATACTAATTTAGG